TTCTGATTTAAAAATGAACCAAATAACTTATTTTCATATTTTAATGCATTTGTAATATTGAATAAAGAAGACTTAAGTGTATAAATGAAAAATGTACAGATTGTGCCAATTTTTTTGACCAATAATCATCAAAATAGAAGAATTAATGACTAAATTAATCCTTGGCTGCAGCCATAAACTTGACCATGGATGAAGTTTACTCAGATTCAGACTTCTGCTGCAGCTCCTGCTGGGAACTCATTAAGAGTTAAAAATATCATCAAATATTGAGATGAGGAGAGAGAAACCAGAATATGAGCCGCAGTAGATCAGGGTGTCCAAACTTATTGTCACGTTGGTCAAAATTTTCAGGTTGAAAAGATTCCAAAAATAAGGGAAAAATACTCACTTTTTCTATAACTCATCAACAAAGTTGCAATATTTTAATTAAATTAGTAAAATAGTTACATTTTTGTAAAGGAATGTGTAAGTTTTTGTAAAATGGTTTTTCATATTTGCCTCATTAAAAGGAAGGAATATAACTTGCAAATTTTAAAAGGTGTTGATTGAAAATAAAAATAACAATTGTTCATTCTGATCAATAAAAGCAGGAATTAATTCACTGGTGTTAAAACTTAAAGACAAGTTTAATAAATTTATTAAGATCTGGATCGCAATAAATCAATAAATTGTATCATAAATTAAAACAAACTTATTTACATTTACATGGTTTATTGGTTTTCTCTTTTCTCTCTTTCTACCAATAATTGGGAGATTATTGGTAGAAATAAAGTCTTCAGTCTGTTGTTTTGGTCTCAATTAACTGAAAGACAATGTTGTTTACAGAGACTTCATAATCCATTTCATTTTTTGATTTATTTATTTATTCAGAATTTTTAAAATATCTTCCAGTTCCAGTGCTAAATGTTTGTTAGAATTTAAAGTTTATTGATATTTGATGGCATGTTCTTGCTTTATCACCATATAGTTGGTGATAAAGCCAACTATGTAGTTGGCTTTATCACCAACCATATAGATATTATCTAGATATTATCGTTTATAACGATAAACGATGTTATCGTTTATTGCAATAAGTTCTGGGAAGATTTATCGTCTAGCAAAAGTGACAAGTGACTTTTTCTTATGACAAGAAAAAGCTCAGATTCTAAATACTTGGTACTGTTGCCAACATTTTCTATTTTAAGATTTTAATTTGTCAGCAATAAATAAAAATTAAAATAAAACACTGGGCCACACAAGATCCGTTCAGGGTCCACAGAAGGACCCGGACCACAGGTTGAACACCGCTGTAGCAGATGGTGTTCAAACGTTTTTCGTTTCATTTCTGTGATTTTTGTGTCCTGATTTCTGTGTTTTCCTGTTTGCTGCATCATCTCAGGAGGTCTGGGAGATACTACAGGCTGGGTGGAGATGTTTTAACACACACACACACACACACACACACACACACACACACACACACACACACTGTCTCTGCAGTTCTGAGACAAACACACAATGTTCCCGGCTGTAAGACACACCGTCAGACAAGACGCAGAGGGTTGGACAGGTTGGACAGCAGACAGGAGGGACGGAGGACGATGAAGAGACACAGAAAGAGAAACAAACAGATGGTCTCACCTCTCAGCGCGTCTCCCTCCGACTGTTGTCATGGCACGTCAGCCTCTCCTCCCTCTGCCTCCGGGAGCAGCTGATGGAGTCGGACCACGTCTCCCAGAGTTCCTCTGGGGTTCCTCTCGGATCTGCACCGACTTTGGGGCTGCAGCGGAGGATTCTGGGAGTCGTAGTTTCCCTCCTGAGGGGCTCTGGGGCTCAGCTCAGAGCTATCTGCTGACGAGCGAGTGCTGTTTCACCGCTACTCAGCAGAACACTGCAGCCTGGTCCTGAAACAGCAGCTCCAAGGACAGCAGGAGGAGGAGGAGGAGGAAGAGGAGGAAGAGGATTGGATGGAGGAGATGGAGGGATGGACAAAGACAGCAGAGGATGATGAGACTGAAAAACATTATGAAATATATGAGAAAAACAGCTGATTCTTAGGCTTTGAGGCTAAAAATAAAAATACTTTACATAAAAACAATAGAAAACATTAATAAATTACATTAATAATTATTCCAGGTTTCCCATAATCTTTTCTTTCTAAATCTTTTCAGGATGCTGATATCAGACTTTCAGATACAAAACCTGAATGTTTCAGTTTATGTCAGAGATATGAACCTCTGCAGTATCACCTTGTTTTCTTCCTTATCAGGATCCCTATGCGGTTTTTGCTGCAGCAGCGCCCTCTGCTGGTTGGACTCGAGCAGGACAGAAATGTGTTTTAATTAATTAATATCACTTTCCTATTATTTTAAGGATCTAACGTAGTTTTTACAGAAAAGGTGTATTAAAGGGGCGGTGTTACATATTTTCCAAACACAATCGAGTTGCTTTCAGTTATTATAAAAATGTTGTATTCATCAACAGAGGAGAGCAGAGTGTGTAAAAATGGATTGAAATCAAGTAAAAGTATCTCTACTTAAACATGTTTTTACTAAAGTAAAAGTAAAAAGTAGCCATCAAGGAAATTACTCAAAAGTAAAAAGGTATTTGGTAAAAAGGCGACTAAAGTACTGAGTAACTGATTGAAACATAAATCATTTAACATTTAAAAATTACATCATCAGACAAACCAAAATTTAAAGTTATGAGGAAATTTGAGCAGTTTAGAAACCAAAATGGAAATAATTAATTATGAATAAAATAAATATATTTAAACAATTTATTTCAATATAAAACTTATGAAACTTTAACAAAAACTGCATGTATGTCTGGTGAATTTTTGTAATTTACAGTTCAGTAGAGAATCCAGAAATTTTACTTAAGAGTAGCAACGATACTTCATAAGTAACTCAAATAAAATGAAAAAGTACAGCATAGTTTTTAGAGATTTTTTTTTTATTACTCAAGTAAATGTAACTAGTTACGACCCAACTCTCTATTACAAACAACTGAAATGATATTTAACTTTGCAACTTGAGAACCTGAAATTGGGCCGCTGTCTCTTTAAGAAGCTCCACTCTTTCTGACATCATTCAATCTATCATCACGACAATGCTCCTCATTATGCCATTTACAGTCATTCATAAGAGCTCAGCACAGTTACACTATGTGTTTTCCAACTGCTGCTGCCGCTAGTCTGAAGGGAAAAGTGAGATTGAAGGCTTTTTCAAACATGCAGAAAAGAATCAAAGCAACCAGGTTTGTTTTTGATGAGGGAATAACATTAGAACATGATGTAAAGTTTTAAAAAAAGTTGATTTTATATGGTATCCTTTAAAAATGACTGTTTTATTAGTAAATTAATTTATAAATTTACATAGAATTTTTAAAACATAGAATAAAACATAGAATTCATCTAAATTTCTCCAAAATTGAATAAAAATTTATTCCAAATAAACATAATAAACATAATAAATATTTAAAAAAAATATATACATTTTATTTTGAAATCTTGATCAAATCCTGAGGTCAGGTAAGGACATGAGGAAGTGATGACATCATCATTGTTTGCTGTCAGGCTCTCTCGCCCTCGGTGGCCGTCTGACCTGGATTCAGTCCGACTCAAATAAATAAATAAAGATAAAAATATCCAACAACCCGTCAGTGATGTTAATAAATACATCAATAAATACCTAATAAATATCAATAAATAAATAAAAAAAACAACATAAATCATCTGCAGTTGATAAATAACAAATAAAGGCTTCTCTTGGTGACTGGAGTCAACAGGATTTTTAGAATTAAAGTCTCTGTTACCTTGAACACATAGAAAAAGAGATCCTAATACTTTCACTTCCTGCTGCTGCTTCAGAATAAAAGCAGGTCAATAAACAGGAAGTTACATCTGGATCCCAGTTGTTTGAAGGTGATGAATGTTTTCATACAAAAATTGATATTTTGGTTGTAGAGGAGTAAAAAATGTTTCTCATTTTGCAGGCAGGTGGCAGCATCATGCTCATGTAGTCCGGAGGTTGTTTACATTAACTGTAAGTAAACAAATGTAAGATATGGTTGATCTGATTGTCTCTGCAGTAATAAAAATTAAACTCTGATCCGTTTCAGCCTCGGGTGATAAGAAACTTCAACATTCATCAAACTGTTTGCTTTCAGTCTGCAGCTTCTCCGCTAATGAGGCTGATAAACAGCAGAAGGAGAGATTCCTCCAAGCGCCGAGCGGGTCCAGACCTGCAGAACCCTCATCAAAACTCAGTCAGTTCTTTCTGGCTTCTTAGAAGGTTTGTAAACACGTTTGTCCCTGCAGCAGAGCAGGGACAAACCTCAACATGTGGAGCGACCCGACGTGCTGGGACAGACACTGAGCTTCAGGATTCTTCTGGATCTGATTCAGCGTAGATGGTCCAATAACCGGCCTGCAGCTTCTAGGATGTTTATCTAGCAGAACCAAACCGCACTGGATCCTTCAGTCCGTTCTGATTGAGCTCTGATATGCACAAAACTTTGTCTGTAGCTGTCCCTTCACTGACTATAAAAAAATTGTAATTATAAAAATAAATTTGGATAATTTCAGAAAAACTTACATTTTTTGATAAAAAACGTTTTACTGCTAGGATTTTGGGGTTTTCGGCTGTATCAAAGTTAATGCAGTTTGCAAAATTTCCTTGAGTCACAGGAGTCGTGATCAACAACAGGATGTTACTACTTGTGGAAAATATGAAGAAGACAACAGGAAGTTGTTGGAGGATGACGATGCTGCATCTTTTTTTAAAGACTTATCTGGTGAACAACCTTATTCATGTGTAATTTTCATGAGGCCCGAGCAGCGAAGCACTGTGAAGGCCTGTTGTTCCTTTTCTTATTTAATTTAATTTCAAACTGTTTTTGTACATTAGCGTAATATCTTCAAAGTTTTGTGCAGAATTGTTTTTGAAATTCAGCTAATATTCTGCTAATACTCACAAAAACATGTTAAATAAGAAATGCAGTTAAAATTACACATGAATAAGTTTGTTCACGCTGTAAGTTGTTTAAAAACATTCAGCGCCATGAACCTCTGACTACTTCCTGTCGTCGTCTTCTTCACGGTTTCCACCAGTGGTCACATCCTGCTGTTGGTCATGTTACTTGTGTGACTGCAGGTTTGCAAAATAAACCAATTTTGATGCCTCATCCTAAATATTTTCACTAAATAAGTGAAAATATTTCGAAATGTAAAATTGTGCAATTTTATAGTCAATGGAAGCACAGCTATTGAGTCACCCCGGTGCGCGGGGCTTAGCGTGCAGCTGCAGCTCAGGGCCTGTTGATGGAGAGGACTTTGAAGGTCCGGTTCAGGTCATGACAGAAGGAGCGCAGCTGAGTCAGCGTCAGTTGGAGGGCCACCTGGACGTTGTGGCTGTCCTGGAGGTGAGAGGCCAGGTCCGTGCTCAGGTTCTGATCCGAAACGTCCACCGTAAGTTGCGCCACCTCCTTTAGCTGCAACAAACAGACAGCTGTTAGCCAATCAGACTACGGTCGATCACATGACAGTCGGTCACATGATGCGAGGCTTTACCTTGTTGATGTGGTTGAGCAGGTCGCGCAGGTCCGCTCTCAGGTCATCCAGACCGATCACTTTGCTGGACAGAACCTCCAGCAGGTTCTGGTACATCTGAACACCTGCTAGCATGTGGCTAACACATGTCTCCTGCAGGGGGCGACAAACAAAAACATGATTAAACTCCTACAGAAGTTTAGAGCAGAAATATTCACAAACATGAACACTGACAAAAATAAAATCTTACCAGTTGTTTTTGGTCTTGTTTCCAGTACAAATATCTTAGAAAACTTGAAATAAAAGAAAACTAACTTTTCTGTAATATTGGTTAAAAATACATAGCAGCATTTTTCATCAATATTAAGAAATTATTTACTCAAAACAAGCTCATATATTTTTCTGAAAAGTTGCTTGTAAGTTATCGTTGTCTTATTTAAAGTGTACTGACATATCTACACTAGAAACTAGACCAAAAATACTTGGTAAGATTTTCTTTTTTTTCCCAAAAACCTTCAATGTCCCATAAAACCTCCAGGAAACACCAGGCTCAACTTCATGCACTAACACCATAATAATAAAATAATTTAAGGTAATTACTGATGAATAAAAGCTTTTATGGATTCAGAAATCTCACTTTTATTTACTATAAATCTTCCTAAGGACCATCTGAACCTCTACTTTAAGGCTGGGAAATAAAACAATAACGATATCTAACGCAATAGACACTTGTTCAGTATCAATAGAAAATACATCCAATACAATATTCAATAATTTCACTGAACACTGATCAAGAACCGCACTGCATTCTGGGGAAGGTAGGCAGAGGAAAGGCTTAAATCTCAACCCCTCATGGTCATCTAAGCTAGCTTAGTGGCTAGCTTAGCCTCACTCGCTCTATAGTTACCTAGCAACAAGCTGGTGAGTAACATGCGAAGTGGCAGTTTCAAGTTTCCCCCAACCTTAAAACCACTGAACCACTGTAACCAAAACCTGACAGAAACTAAATGAAACATAAAGATTCACCTTATTATGATCCTTAATGTTTCTCTTCATACCAGGAGCTCAATTACAAAATTTCTCAAACAAAAAATGACTCATTGTCTAATTAACCAAAAAGAAGAAGAGGCAAGTCCCAACCCGGACTACCTCTAGGATTCCTAAAACCTTGTAAGATACTCCAACTAATTAAGCACTGAGTTAGCCTCAAACTATTTTAAACTAACACATCCACAAAGAAACCAAACATAAACTAAATGAACACCAGAAGAAGAAACGGAATGATCTCTAAACTTTTTAAGGACATACCAAACCACAACAGACTAAACATGAAGACTCACTCAACAAGTCGCAGATTTAGATTTATGGAACCATTTCATCATTCAGAGACATCAAATTCTCAGAGATGCCAAACTCTCTGAACTGTCAAGAAACAGAGTCTTTGTGCAAACCGCCTCAAAGGCTATGAAGAACCACTTAAACCAAAAATCATCCCAAAGGCTTTTCTTAGAATCAGACAAAATTCTGACTACTACTCAACAAGCCTGAGGATCTCCTGAATACACAAAAATGTTCCCTTTTTCCCATAAACACCCAATGAGAAACCCTTACAACAGCCTGAGCTACCAGACTGAAGGACTGAAATCCTTCAGTCACAACATGGAACCGCCCAACAGACCCAACCCACCCGTCCTTAGACTGACCAGGGTAAAGTGCTCAGACGGCGCCTTGAGGACAGGAGAGGACGGGATTCTCATCGACGCTGCCATCAACTGCAGGCTGGATGCTGACGAATCCAGGCTGAAAGCCTGAGGAGGACAGGAGCGCATTAAAAACCAAAGGAGAAGAAGAAAACACCAACCAATCTGGACCAACCAAACTGATTGTTTTTACCTTGACTGTGGCAGCGTGCGTTGCAGAAATGTCCTTGAGGATTTTGTCCCCGAGCGTCTTGGCCTCCACGGCCGTTTCTCTGAATGCAGGCGGCAAGTTGGATGGCAAGCCGACCGGAGCCGATTGGACCAAAGATGCAAAGAGGAAGTACTGCAACAGGATGATAACTGAAGGAAAGAAACAAAGTAACTCCTTAGATTAGTGCCAAATTTATCTAGGAATAAGACTACAAAAATAAAAATGAGAAACCAGAACTGAAACTAAAATGCAGACACATTTGATTATTGGTGTACGATATCTAATTTCAGTTGATTTTTAGATGAGTTTGTGCAAAAGGCTTTTTGCTAAATTTGCAAATTTAGCTAAATTACTTTATCAAATTTAGTGATTTAGTGAATTTAGCAAATCATTCGCTAAATTTGTGAATGATTTTAAAATCATTTGGAAATTTTGTGACAATTTTCATTAGTCATTACAACGTTTTCACAAAACATTTTCTGTATTTTCATCTTTCCGTCTTTCCCCTTTAACATGTTATTTAATTTCCCTTAGGGAAATTCTTAAACTTTAAATTTCTGTATTTCCGTATATTCTGACCAAAAACTCTTGACCAATCCCTTTACATCACGGGTGGGCAACTCCAGGGCCGGTCTCCTGCAACTTTTAGATGTATCCCCACTTCAACACACCTGAGTCAAATAATGAGGTCGTTAGAGAACCTGACTGCACTGAGGAGGTGATTCAGCTGTTGGATTCAAGTGCGTTGGACCAGGGAGACATCTAAGAGTTGCAGGACACCGGCCCTCGAGGAAAATGATTGCCCACCCCTGCTTTAGATCCTTTCTAATTTAACTTCTTGTTCCACTATATCTCTTGAACTCCAAGCCTGTGATGCTTTTTTTTTTTTTGCAGAAGCCATTTTCACATTTTCAGTACGATTTGCGCATGCAGTTCCTGTTGCCAATTCCTCAGGAAATTATTTTATTTCTATCAAAAGTAGATTTCCAAGTAGATTTTTGAAAATGTTGTTTGCACTTGAAATATGTTAAAATCTTGTCCTTTTTTGTAAATTTATTGGCAGCATTCTCATCTTTTTGTAAAACAAATTTGACCTCAACTTTAAGAAAAAGCTTCCTGAAAATCAGTACGGTAATTTTAGTTCACGACAATAAAAAAAAAAACATTCATCCAAACTCCAAGATGCCTCCTGGCTATAAAGAGGGATGGAAGAAATTTTAATTTGTAATAGAAAAAAAGGTATAATTTTGTTTTTATATTAGTATAATTTTCATCTATATCTGCAACACATTATCAATACAAATAATAATAATAATTAATTAATTCCAGGACTTTTAATCATCTTCTGAGATCACGGTAGTGTTCATGAAACACAAGTGATGCTGAAGACTGAGGGATGACGTTCAATTCTTTAACATTTGCTAATCTTTCAGTTTTTGGCTAAATAAATACAAATGTACCCAGAAAATAACTGGAAACTGTTTATTTCAGCCCAAAATCTGTCTGTTAATGCTAATAAACCACTAATTAATAACTTTTAAGGCTTTAATTCAATTAACATTTTTACTTTGCATTTCCTTGTTTTGGCACCACCAGCCTCCCATACATGCCGAGTCCAGAACCAGCGGCTGTCTCTGCTAGTTCTGACAGCTCTGTTGGCGGCATGTTCTCCAGGTGTAGACCTACCTGTCCAGGTGTCCATGTCTGTCAGGGTGGCTGTGCGTGTGTGTGTGTCAGTGCGTGTCCGCTGCGCAGCTCCGGAGTTTGTCTTTCAGCTTCCATTTGGACCAGTTTGGACCTTTTATCTGAGCTCTGCTTCGCCGCGGGGTTTCCCATTGACGGGGACGGAGAGTCATGCAGTAAGCCCGAAGTTACGAAGTCTCTGAATCCCTGAATGCGTCACAGCTGTGCACGCGCACAGAGAGCCTCGCAGGGAGGGAGCTTTTGGATGGCGGTTAGGTAAACCACGTGACCGCGCACCTTTTCTGTGGACTCGGAGACACTTCTGAGTATTCAAGTCAAATTATCCACCACTCCCCTATTAAATTAAACAAAACTGACATGAGACAATGAGACATCTGTCCAGAAAATAATTTTGTTTGTGCCGCTATGCTTTTTTTTTTAGTTTTTTTTTTAAATATAAATTTATTATTGTAGTTGCTGCTGCTGCTTTTTGTGCGACTTTCTTTTTTTATTGTTTTTTTTTATTAATTATTATCCTTTTTTAATTTATTAAATTTATTTTTTGTATTTATTAATTATTTTTTCTATATTTTATTTATTTTATTTGTGCCACTGTCTAGTTAGTTAGTTAGTTAGTTAGTTAGTTAGTACTGCTAATAATAAATACATCAATAAATGTTTCCAGAAGTTGTCAAGGTGAACCAGCCTCCCTCCTTACAGAAATTACAAAATGTTCAAAAAATTGGTAAGTTTGTGTAAAGAAGCAAAAAAAAAAAAAAAACATTTGTGCAAATTACAAAATTTGTGAATTTTTTGTTTGAATTTGCATAATTTACAAAAATCATGCAAATCTGGTATCAATCGACTGTTCTGCAAAAACTGTAGCTGCACAAGAATATAAAAATTGATTTATATATTTTGTCTGGGGAAAGGGATAAATTGATTTCTGCTGACTTTTGAACATTTTTTTTTTTAAATCTTAACATGATAACAGCACAAATGTATCCGAGTTGACTGGCACCATATTTCTTTTGATTTTGTAAACATGAAGGACTTGTGAGGGACCTGGAATCATTTATTAATATTTTTTAAAATGACAGTGGCAAAAATGACCATTTTTGTTGCACAAACGTTTATTTTTGCTTAATTTCAAGAAAGTGGAGAATCAAGATTTACAACATCAACATCCTGTTAATATATCAGATTACACTGCAAAAACCACAAAATATTACCAAGTATTTTTGTCTAGTTATTTGTGCAAATATCTTGGTTTACTTTAAAGGAAGTACAAGTTCCAATGGCAGATTATTTCATTTTAAAAACATTTTTATTAATCTTTATGAATTATTGACTTAAAACAAGCTCTTGCATCTTGCAGAAAAGTGTAAGCTAGTTTTGTCTTACTTCAATTTTTTTACACTAGAGATTAGACCAAAAACTCTTGGTAATATTTTGTGTTTTCATTTATTTTGCCTTCTTCTGCAGGTTTGATTATTCAGTAAATGTGAAAGTAATTAGAGGTTTTGTGTAAGAAAAAGTGAATTATTTGAGTGTTTTCCATCTTAGCTGCTCCTGTACAGGGTGAACCTTGCAGGGCGACTCTGCATCATCCTGACTGCAGGAGTTTTAGAGGAGGAGTCTGGACCTCCATCCAGCCGCCTCACTTCCTGCCATGCACATTTCCAGGTGAACCCGTGGAAATGTACCGAAGGTGTGTTTGAGTATCAAGCTGGGTGTGTTTTTATTGTGACTGTGCTTTCTCTTCCTGTGTGTCATCATGTGTGTCGCTCTTTAAGTAATTCTGGAAGCTTATGAGTCAGCAGGAAACTCGGATCGTTTCCTTCTCGACGCAGACTCCAGCTGATCCGTTAATCCTGAGTCGGAGAAATAAAATCCCAGCATTTCCTTCTGGTTTTATTGCATTTACAGTAAACGTTTCTGAGGAAAACTGGAGTTTTTAAGGTTCTCAAAGGAGCGTTACAGTTACAATAAACCCAGTAAGTGTTTACATCCTTCTCTGGTTTCTCTGCACAGTAAACAGTTGACCATTTTTAAATGAACCAGTTGCAGATTCCCTTGGACTGTACTACATTATTTAGTTTAAAGCTACACTGTATGTCGAAATGTTGCTCTTACTGTACTGTGTTTTACTATTTATTCTGGTTTTCTATCATTTATATTCTGTCTTTTTGTGAATACTTACTTTTAATCGTTGTTTGCTGCTGTTGCACAGAAATATTCACTTTATGGGACAATAAAGGATATTTCTATTAAATTTCACTTATTTTTCTGGCTAACTAAATATTCAGCCTCATACTAAATGTTTTGGTTTAAACTAATGATTTAACTTGATCACTAAATATTTAGTGTCAACTAAATATTAGATTTATGATACTCATATTTATACTAAATATATATATTATCAACTAAATATTTAGTTTCAAAATAAATTTAGCTTGCTATCTAAATATTTATATTTGTCGTCAAATATTTAGCTGGATTTTTAAATACTTTGTGAAAGTAAATATTTAGCTGGAGTACCAAATATTTTGTATCAACTAAATATTCTGTTTATGGTACTCATAATATTTACATTAAATACTTAGTATTTAATGTAGTATTACATTATATACTACATTAATGTATATTTAGCATCAAACTAAATATTTAACTCCATATTAGATGTTTTGGTTTAAGCATTTTTAGCTTGATTAATACATATATAGAGTCAAACTAAATATTTAACCTCATTCTAAATATTATGTGGATTACTAAATACTTTAGTATAAAGTAAATATTTACACTTAGCGTAAAATAAAAAATTTAGCTTACTAACTAAATATTTAGCTTCATACTAAATATATCTTTCAAACTAAGCAATATGCTTGATAACTAACTGTTTTGGTCCTAACTAAATATTTAGCCTCAGACTGAAAACTTAATTTCTAAAAATGTATTTTCAGTTCAAATTCAATATTTTTCTTCCTAGCTAATATTTAGTTAGCAAGCCAAATATTTTTTTTATTAATAGCATAATCAACAAATATTGTATAAATATCAGATACACTAACAATCTGAAAACTAAAACTGGCACCAGCTGCTTCCAGAAGTGAAAGAAACAAAACATCAAAAACAGGAACAGGCGAAATTTTACATAAAAACAAACCAGCAGTAAAATATGAACAGCAACTTAAATACGACATGAAAATGAAAAACGGGGGTTTTATGGGAATTTCAGTTTGTTCATCATATGATACATATCTTGTTTTTTGACCATATATTTTATGGATAAGAAGAAGTGGCAGAGTTCCTCGTGAAAAGTGGGGAAAGAAATAGTTTTGTTTTAAAAAAATGACATTTTTACATTCAGTCACAGTTCATGTCTCTTTTCTTTCCTCAAGGTCCCAAAAACAATTTAATTCTTAGAAAATCCAACTAATTTTGGAGTTTCATAGAAAGGCCAGAGATTAAATGAAATCTTCCCACAAAACTTTTTAATAAACACATTAATAAAACAAAAATTCTGTCAACTCAAAACCTCTGAAACAAAATACAGTCTGAGGAACTTTAATAGCTTGTTTATAATTAATTCACAATTTTTATGTAATTTGAGAAGAAATATGAGAAATCATTTGGATTTGGCGCAACAGGAATTTCCAAATTTTAGGATTTTCTTCAGCCTTTTAGAGAAAAAAGGTAAGAAGTTCCCGCCGCTGATGTCGCCTGGATGCTGTAAGTGATCAGCTGACTCACAGCTACGTTTTCCAAGAAAGTTCAGCCGGTCCAGAACCAGATGTGATTAATGTGAGACGACTGGATCCGGGCCAGGATCCAGATCCGGGAGGTGTTTGGGCTCCAGGATCCAGGGAGGAAAAGTTCAAGTTATGAGTAAATAAGATTCCTGGAAGCTTCTTCTGTTTCAGACTGGGCTCAACATGTTGTTTCTTTTTAACGCCGATTAAACATGAAATGCGCCAGAAGCTGCAGAACCAGAATCATCTGCTTATTTACGCTCAGAGGGAAAAGTAGAGCTATTTTTACTCAAGTAGAAATAAAAAGTTGTCATCCAAGAAATGACTCAAGTAAGAGTAAAAAGTACAGGGTAATATTTTTTTTGTCTTCTGTTGACTTGTGTATGAAAAAGTTAAAAAATAACAGAAAAAAAACTTATTTAAAAACAAAAAACACTGTTAGCTTAAAAGTTTTTTATGCGTTCCCCCAGAGTCTGGAGGGCCACTTAAAAAACAGTGGTGAACCAGATTTGGCCCCTGAACCTTGAGTTTGACACGTCGTAATTAACCCAGCTTCTCAGTTTCCTCGTTTATTTAAACATTTTCTTCCAGAACTGTGATTCTTATTTCTGGTTTTAAATCCAGCAGGTGATTCATCTGGCTCCATCTGATTGCGACCGTCTTGTTCTGATTTTTATCTCTGAACATTTTGGTTCGGGTTCCTGCTGGTTCTGTTCTGACATGATCTTTTCGTCATGCGTGTTCGTCATGTGCAGGTTTGATTTGACACGATTACTCATCTCTGACTTCACGTTCTGACTAATCATCCTTTCAGTTTCTCTTTCTACAGCGCCTCCTGGTGGTTCGGCCTTCTAACTGCTTCTGAGCGCGCTCAGTAAAAAGCACAGGCAGCAGATTAAACAAAAACAGGATTTATTCGTGTCAGGAACAAGAAACAGCAGCAGAGTTTAAAGCTGCAACACAGAAAACAGAGAGGGAACAGAGGGGATTGTGGGTAATAAGTGATTTGTTAACACACAACTACTTCCTGTTTGAACAGGAAGTCAGCGGAGAGGCTCATGGGAAGCTGTCGTCGTCGTCTTCGGCCATTTCTTTGGCAAACTCCAGATCCTGCTGCTCTCGTTCCCGACGCTCCTGAACGCATCACAGAGAGAAACAGAGACAGATTGAAATCAGTCGTTTACACATTTTGACCATTAATATTTCAATTATTTTACAGCGTTTATGCTCTAAAAATGAATTAAAACACCAATTACATAAAGAAGTGTGATTTTTATTACTAAACTGCACACAATAACTGCATTTAATTATCTTTTCTAATTTATTGCTATTTATTAATGTGAAAAACTGGAGGAAAATTTGTAAAAATAAAATTTCAAGAGTTTTTCAACATCAATTAAATTTATTGCATCAACGTTATATTTAAATCTTATATAAGAAATGTATCACAATAAATAAAAAATGATACAATAAATGCCAACCGCTAATGTAAAGCTCTAAAATGTTGATTTTACATAATAGTCCTCCTTACATGTGACAAAAAAAGAAGTGAAGCTGCGTTACCTCTGCTGACTCCAGGTCCTTGTTGTACGCTTTAGGAGGAAACCTCATGGCCTGCAGGGGGAGACAGAGAGTCAGATC